AGAGAGAGAGAGAGAGAGAGTGCAAGATAAAGACAGAAAGAGCGAGAGAAAGAGAGAAAGGGACAGAGCAGAGAGCGAGTGAGAGCAAAATAGAGAGAGGAGCATTCACCTGTTCCGAGCCTGGGGGCAGGATAACAGAAGGATGGGAGTGGACCTTGTAAATTTGTGGAGGGTCAGAGATAGAGAGCACAGAGAGAGAGGCAGGGGCAGATGGAGACACAGCATCGAGAGAGGGGGGCATGCTATGTTTGTCTTTGGGAACTAACTTTAAGAAGAATATACATGGCTTTCGGCTTTATGAAAAATCAACACTGTTGTCATCGAGATTAACAATTTAAAATGACTTTTGAAAACATTGCGGAAAAGTCCTTAAAATGTTGCACATATCAGGAAACTAAAACTCATGAATACTTGTGCCATAGGTGTCAAAATTTTATTATATTTCAATGAAAGGTGCAGGAGATGTCATCAGTCCAGGTTACAGATTGGATCTATGGAGAGGCGAGTTCGCTCACAGTTAAAATGCATGTTTTTTAAGATATCTGTTTAGCAATCACGTGCAATTTAATAATAGGCAAGACACAGTAGATCGATTTAATGACCAACTGAAAATTGCAGGTAAATCAATAACATCTCCTCATATACTGTACAAGCTGGAAACCTTCACTACAAAAGTTACGCACTGCATCTTTAAAGGTCATATATTAGGGGTGTAACGATATCCAAGTCTCATGATACGATATTGGCACAGTATGAACCTCACCATACAGTATTTATTGCTATATCGGGGGAAAGCTCACAATATGGTGGGGAGGCTCAGGATTAGGGATGTAACAATATCCAAATCTCTCTGTACGTTATTTTCACAATATACCTCATGGTACAATATTTATTATGATATTTTGTGGGGGTTAACAAAACTGTGAATATGTGACTTTTTCCTCTTAAAATGCCTTGACAAGACTTAATCCAAAGAATTAAGACTTAAAAGTGCTTAGAACAGTTATTTCTTCTTGTAGTCTACACTGAAATGGAGCAAAGGATCATGGTCTATGTAGTTCACTCTGTCTTTTTTTAGCTATTGCTGCACCATAACTCTTCATTTAAGCAAATAGACTTGTATTTCAATATATTGTGAGAACTTTGACGATACGATATTACGATATTTCGGTTATTGTTACATCCCTATCGTATATTATACAAAATTGACTCTTGTGAGCTTTGAGAATTGTTATAACTTTGTTACCTCATCAAAACATACCTGGAGTTGTGTTTCATTCACACATGTCTGAGTAATTCTTTCTTATTTCTTAGTCTTTCTACATCTCCAAAGCTCAAAATGCTCTGTTCCACCTTATGTCATGTAGTGGTAGTTTCCAAGTTTAAGTTTTTATCTTTAGTTCAACAGAGACTCACAATTCCCCTTGTAAATGATTCTAGTGAAGGTGTATAGAGTTTAAAAACACAGTGGAGCACTTCCTGTATTACCACATGACATCACAAGGTGGAACAGTGTTTTCTGTTTGCGAGAAGAGCACAAGTCCAGGTATGTTTGTGACGAGGAAATATTACAACATAGATCAGAAAAGAGCATAATATGGACCATTTAAGAGTATTGTAAGACTCGCTTTACCATTGTGTCACCATAAATCCTATAATTGGACCATTTTCTTTTCCCAAACAGCGGTTTCTTACGTCAGCAACACTTCTGTGCCTCCTCAATAATACATTTTCCAACTATTTTTGTTCCCAGGCTGTAAGAGAAACTGTCAACTGCCGCACAAATGACAAACAACTGCTGAGTCTTAACGATTAATGTCAACAAAAGCTGTTTGATTTGACGGAGGATTCAATATTTTCAAGTGTGTGAAGAGGAAATGTAAATGCGTTTTATTAATTCGTCAAAACAAGCACTTCAAATTGCTACTGAATACATAAAACGTCAAATTTCCGTTTGATTTGAGAAGTATTGGAATACATTATGTCTAATAAATCTAGAAAGGTACTTCACAGTCCATAGCAGTTTTAAATGTTGTGTGTAAATTAGTCTAACAATACAAAAATGTGGGTGCAAGTGGTTACTTTATTTTAAATTTGATATTAATTTGATTCCTAAACTGTATTAAAGGTCCTATATTATACAAAATTGACTCTTGTGAGTTTTAATCCATGTTAGAATGTTGTTACCTCCTCACAAACACGCCTGCAGTTGTGCTTTTGTTTCATTCACACATGTTTGAGCATCTTTATTATTAATCTGTCTACATCTCCAAAGCTCAAAATAAGTAGATATTGACAATTCTGAAAGGTCTGAAATCATCCAACAACAATGGTAGCCTGGCAGGGACATGCATCTGACCTTGACTTTGACTTATCAGTAATATAAAAGTGTAACGGAGAAAGTTTTAGGAAGGCTGCTCAAAAATATCCTAAAAATGTATCTGCAAAAATGCGGTCATACCACTTTAAGAATGCCCAATCTGATCTGAGAAGCTAAGCAGGGCTGGATTGGAAGACTGCTGTGAATACAAGCTACCACAGTGGGACAGCAGCGGGTCTACTTTTGTTGTGTCCTCAGGCAAGGCACTAGATGGAAACTAGTTATTTTGCCATAAGAGTGCTTTTAAGAACTCACTGCTTCTGTACATCGACTCTTCAAATAAAGACTAAACTTGTTTCTCATAGTATGTGGTGAGTGAGAGATTTGTCAAAGTCACAGTTTGTCAGCCTTGTTTTCCCCTGTCTGCCTCAGGGCAACTGTGGCTCCAATAGTAATAATACATTTTATTTAAACAGCGCTTTTCTAAAGACTCAAAGATGCTGCACAAAGAATACAATTAAAAAGAAGAGCACATTTAAATCACATAACATATAGTCAAAATTATAATTCTAGTCGCTTACCATCCACTGTGAATGAAGTGAATGATAGTATGAAGTGAATGATTGAACAAAGTGAATGATTAAATGAAGTGAACACATCTTTGGTCTCTTGACAGGTGCTACACTGTAAATCTAAGACTCCAATCACATTACGGATACATGCAAAAACGTCATTGTGCTTACAGTTAAATAAGTTTGTCCACTACAGGCGCTGGAAGAAACACTATAGTATCCAGTATTTAAATGTATTTCAAAAATGTCACTAGTTTATTGTTTAGCTACAGGCCTATATATAAAAATATATAAATATATCTGTACTCAATCTACCGTTTAAAACTCTTGTACTTGGCATTAGACATTGACATTTTACAAGTTTTTACATTATGAGACTTTGGTGGTTCTACTTGTTAGTTTGTTCACGGTAAAGTGGAGTGAAAGTGCAGCGGAGGCAGAGGAAATATGTTATATGTAGCGTAAAATTAAACTGAAAGGTTGACCTTTTTTGAACAGCTAAAATATGTGTTGGCTCTGCTCCTGCTGCTGTATCCAGGGCAGCCCTGCATTTAAAACAAACACTGGGCAGGTAACTCACAATAGCACAATCTCAGGTAAAGTAACACGCTATAGGAAAACATGCAAATTATAATAAGTTGATAAGTATAAGTTAAACTCTCTCAAGTAAAGTAACACGCTATAAGAAAACAGGCAAATTACGATAAGTATAAGTTTAACTCTCTAAATTAACAAGGCGAGTAAGGTGTCTTGCTCAAGGACACTGATAAGAGTTCAGTGCTCGTAGCTGGGATCAGACAATCAAAAGTCAGATTGAGGTACTGAATTGACCAAAACAAACAAACAAACAAACAAACAAACAAACAGAATAATTAATTAACATGTGTGAATGAAACAAAACAAAACTCCGCCTCTTTGTGATGAGGAAATAACACTATAACGTAGATCAGAAAATAGCGTAATATGTCCTTTAACACAAACTAAACTTGCTGAATATGAGAATTTCCATGTGGTCTTAAAAGTGCACTATGTAACTTTCCTAGAAGATGGAAAGCCTCTTGTTTGTCTCTGTGGACATGTTGCCTGGAGCAGGATTGCCTCTCCACAGACCAGGCTTGTAACTAGTGGCTTCACCTGCATGCCCCCTATGGAGACATATCGATTTGACGTCACTGTGGAACATTCCAAGCAATAACATCTCCATGGAGACAAGCATGTATTTATTATTTTCATAGCTAAACCTAATAGAAATGATACAACTCAGTAATTCACAAATATAGTAATATATGACAAAACTACAAAAATGTACCTGATGTGTACCTGCCCACTGAGGAGTAAGAGAAACACGTAACATTAGAATAATTCAAGATAAAAGGTTCATTGTGTTGGAGAAAAATCTATGAGGCCTTAATGTGTTTATAATCGAACCAGCTTAAATAATCAATGTAAACTAAGTGGATGGTGCACTGTATATTAGACTCTATTGACATGTGAGTCAGAGGGTGGTATAACTATCACTATATGAAAATCTCAATGCTTATTATTTTTCAAACAACTATGGTTAATTTCTCCATATTGGCTGCACTGGATCAAAGCAAAGGATCATGGTCTATGTAGTTCTTTGCTTTCTGAGCGTTCTACTCCAAGAATATAATGAAGTTTATCATACCTTATTTCAGTGTGGCCTTTATTTTTCATCTGATATTATATCTTATATTAGGACTGAATGAAAAGAGAAAATATCAAATTGTTTTCTGACAAGCATTGTGGTGTTTTAGTAATAGGATTCTGTTTAACTTGTTCAGAAAGAAAAAAAAGTACTAAAATATGATAAATGGACATATTTATATAGCGCTTTTCCACCTTCAAGGCACTCAAAGCACTTTATATCAAGGAACCATTCACCCATTCACACACACTTTCATACACCAATGTACACAGACACTAGGGGCAAAGTGGGTTAAGTGTCTTGCCCAAGGACACAATGATAGAATTCATTTGAGGGAGCAAATTTTGTATGATTACTTTAGAAATCAAAGAAAATTCTGATTCTAAAAGTGTGTGTTAATATGATGTGATGTGCGTTTATGTTGTGTATTGAATCTTACCTGCTATGAAATGTCTGGGGGGGCAGGGTGGGCGGGGACGTGGAGGGCGTGGCCAGGCTCGGGGGATATGGGTGATAGGGGGTCTTCTTCAGCGCCTGGATCAGGTTGTGTCTGTACTCGGGGTCTATGGACCACAGCGAGCCTTTTCCTATGCTCTGAAACACACAAAACAGGAGAGACATGAGACACAAGGCAAATCGTGAAGGACGGATAAAGAAGAAAACAGCTGAGAAGATTTTCAATCATTAAAGGTGAATTGTGTAACTTTTCGTGTGCCACCTGAAATATTTCACAGGGTGGCATTAAACTTGTCTATCTACCATGTAATCAATTCTGGGTGTTTTTATTGCTTAAAGAACATGCACACCAACAGTCAGCGGGCCCTCCTCTTCACAGATCTGACTGGTATCTTGGTCTGGTAGCATCTCCTGCTTGTTTCCATGGAGATAGTTAAATTAATCCCATACTGTGAAACATTCCAAGCAAAGCAATTACACTGTCATGGCAACAAAAATGTAGGCAGGATATGGAGATCTGTAAAATGAATTCTAGTTTTCAATAATATAATCTGAATCAATAACAAAATGTACGAGTTACAGTAATTATATGCAATGTTCTTTCCTACTGGAGTAAATTACATTACTGTTCTTATTGCAAAGATATTTCTTACAAACATTTGAATGAAGCTTTTACATTTTAAGTTAAAACTGCATTGTGTGGCTTCTGGTAGAGGGTAAGGGATGGGGCAAAATTGCCACAAAACTGTGCACACATGAGGAAAATGATCTTATGATTTTATTTTAACATTTGTTTACGTTTGGAGTGTATAAAAAGGGGTTAAGAGCTGGTGAATGACAGTTCCTGAGAAAGTGTAGTTCCAAAAGGCAGGGCTACAATAACAACAAAAATATTAAATAAGATACATTAAAAATTCTAATAAAAAAAAAAAAAACATAACTGAACCACTCAATTTACTTATGAGAAATAATGTCAAAATCTCATCTCATCTTGTGCAAACTTTATCTCATCCCATCTGTAAGCTTGAATCCCCTGCTTCAGTGTGGATGTAATTGTGTTAAACTTAATTGAGAAAAGCAACTCACAGTTAATTCAGCAATAAAACACCTGATATCTAATATAGATTAAAGCGTTTATTTTCTATTTTCTGATCTATGTTATAATGTTGTTTCCTAATCAAAAACATTCCTGGGGTTGTGTTTTGTTTCATTCACACATGTTTAACACACAAATCCTGCATAATTCATCTGAATTCTTCTCCAAACTCTGTTCCACCTTGTGATGTCATGTGGGAAAACAGGAAGTGCTCCATTGTGTCTTTAAACCCCATACACCTTGGCTAAAATCATTTGGAATTTCCAATCTCTTCTGAACAAAAGGTTAAATGCTGTTAACATGAAAACTACTGATTCATGACATCACAAGGTGGAACAGAGCATTCTGAGCTTTAGAGGTGTAGACAGACTAATAAAGGGTCACTCAAACTGTGTACATGAAACAAAACACAATTATGTTTATGATGTTGTAACATTATAACATGGGTTAAAGCTCACAAAAAAACATTATGCATAACGTATAACTTTTTACGTATAATGCCGTACTGTGGAACATTCTGGGAAATGCAAAAACCTCTCCATAAACAAAAGCAGGTGGCTGACCCCAAACCACAGATGTTGGACAGTGTGCCTTTAATCCTGTGAGTCTGTTTTGATATTGTTAGTGTAATTTTAACAAGGAAAGATACGGTCTCAATGCCAATTTATTCAAAACTTCAAATGTGATTTTGTTATTGTACAATCATGTCAAGGATACAACTCTCTCCTGTATGCATTTTTTGATCAAAGACTCCTCATTTCACCAGATAAAAAAAGAAATAAATCAGTCTATACATTATCCACAAGGGGCAGGAAAACATCCAGACATCCATGCTGTCTCCCCCTCCCCGAGACACCTCCTTCTTTCATCCTCTGTGTCTGTGAATGGAGTAAATATGAAATTAAACTACTCACTTTGCGATACTCTATGATCACGAGCAGGTACAGCGTCAAAGGAGGGGAGGTGTCACGGCTGGCGCGGTTTTGGAGATTTTTTTATTTTTATTTGCCAAAACATAAAAAAAGAAGAAGAAGGAACTGTCAGTGAATCGGAGCCGTGAGCCAGGCATTAATTGGGATCACGTAAACAGTTCAGAGCAGGAGGAGGAGGAGGAGGAGGAGGAGGAGGAGAAGGAGGACATGTTTTTGGGGATGCGGGATTTGAGAAGGATTCAGTCTGACAACTTCACAGCTTAATCAAATCACGCTTCAGAAGTTTGTAGTGAGATACAAATGTATACTGTTTAATGCAGTGTTATAGGATCATTTTGTGTTTAGTGTCAGACATCAAAATGTGAAAAAGTTACGGATATGCAAGATATGAAAAAAGACTGAAACATTATTAAAAAGGCTGATATTGCTGTATTTTCTGATCTATGTTCTAATGTTACCTCATCAAAAACATACCCGAGTGTGTTTTGTTTCATTCACACATTTTTCATTTAACAGACAAACCCTGTAGTGAGTTCTTCTCTCAAACAGGAAACAATCTTTCCCCTTCCACACTTGTACGTATTCGAGACGTTTTTGTTGCGGATGCAGTGTTCGTCCAAACTAATCCAACGGCAAACGGCTCCAGAAAGGGAACGATCTGGTGCCGCCAGCTCCCATGAATTCATCTGAACAGATACAGTATAGTACAGATCTGAACCAGCACTGTGTGGATGCCTGAAAATGCTGATACATTGTAGATCATTGTAGATCTATGCGCCGCGAAGTAATTCACCACCAAAACACTAAAAGGCTAGAATTTATGTCCATTCACACAGTCTATGTGTATGACCTGCAGATGTATAATCTCTGAAAAGTTTAACATGAACCATCTCCAACATGACAGAAGCACAGAACAGACTCACCATCAGCAGAACACCCCTCTGTCACAGAAAGCACACATATATTCCACTGAGTCGTGTCCTTTTTAACTCCGACAGAAGCTGAACCGCATCAGCGCACATTAGCGAGCTGTTTTTTGAGTGTCCAGTTTATGCAAATTAGTCATGCGGTTTTAAGGTTTGTTTCTGTAAAAGGTAAACAAATGTGCTCAAAGCTGTGTGGATAAGAAAGATTTGTGGACACAGAAACAACGTGTCTGGACGCAAATCATTTCCGAGACAGTGATTCGTTTCAGTGTAAACGTAACCTCTGTTCCACCTTTTGATGTCATGTTGTAATACAGGAAGTGCTCCACTGTGTTTTTGCACTCTATACACCTTCACTAGAATCATTTCAGACCTGGAATTGGCCGTCTCTACTGAACTAAATCCATCTAAAGCTATCATAAGGTGGCACAGAGCAATTTGAGCTTTGGAGATATAAACAGACTAATAATCAAGAGTGAATGTGTGTCAAACGTGTGAATAAAATAAACACAACATCAGTTTTGATAAGGTAACAGCATTATAACACTGCTTAAAGTTCACAAGAGTCAATTTTGCGTAATATAGGACCTTTGATAGTATTTAACTTTCTGTGGGTGAAAGTCAACGGCAGTCCATGGAAACAGAAAGTTACTGGAACATTACTGTGGAATATTACAGCCAAAGGATCAACATTTCCATAGAAACAAGCAGGAGACGGCCCTCCTCCAGGCCAAATTAGAGTCTATTTTGTGCGGATAAAAGCCTGCTAAGAGTAATACCTGTGCATACATGTTTTTCAGTGCAGTAAAAACATCCATAATGTATAAACAACACGCTTTTATTTTAGCCTATTTTTAGGCTTAAAAAAAGGGAACAAGAACAGTGCATCAGATTTATGCTTAATACTTTGGAGAAACTTTTGGAAACTTCTGTGAAAAAGTAAATATACAAATTTTACTTGACAAATGGCAGACTTGCCTTTCATAACTGTTTCACTGCTGCACTATATATAGTCCAGAATCATGTTAAGATTTTGTGTTAAGTCAAATGTATTTATATTTGTATTTATGTATTTATTTTGGGCGAGTAGAGACTTACATTCTTATACAATGGAACATATAACATAAGTGAAATCATAATAGAAATTAAAATAACTACAACAAAAAATTTGCCCAGAAAGGAGTGGGAAGAGGAAAACTTTAAAAACTTAAAACTTAACACATACAATACACATTAAAAGAGCAAGAAAAACAATATTAATTAATAATAATAATAATTTGACTATAATAAAATGGGAAGGTGCTGCTGCTTAGTTGGCCGGTAGTTTCTGTATAAAAACATGAACTAAAAACTATTTTCTCTTTCCCACTGTCTAGTTATCTTTATTGGGACGTCCAGACCGTATGATTAACCTCTAGTCCAGCCCTCCACCACTGGCCTGTATAAGCAGACAGCATGTGTACATTTGCTCACAGCGCCCCCTGTCTGTGCCTCTTCATTACTGCGCGTTTCCTGCGGCTCCGGGGCCATATGTAGCCTGTGGAGCTGTGTGCGTGTGCTGACTGTGTATGTCCACTTCCCCTGGGGAGCGTGATATTACCCAGCATGCCTTTCTCCTGGGAGTGCTCCGCTCACAGCCAGAGACGCCTCTCCAGTGAGCCTGATATTACACACATGGGCCCAAATCTACCCCAAACCTCTCGATGGATGTGGGGCAATGCCAGGACTCTATTTGGGCATTTTTGTGCTATATTTGAGCTCGGATTAAAAAATGTTTTCAACTTCTTAAAGAGACACTCTACAGGGGTTGCTGCCCTTGCTTGACCTAAAATGTTTCACAGTATGGCATTAAAATGATCTATCTCCACAAAGACGTCAAAAAGTAAGTAAGAATACATGTTTTTAAGCTACTCAAGATAAGTTAGAAAGTTATATGTGCAAACTTCTCTTTTAAAGGGACATTTCGGAATTTTGGACATAGGGCCTCATTTCCTAGTGAGCCAGATTGTTTGAGATGTGTTGAGACACTTTTAAAAATATTCCATCCACTCCTTGTATTTGCAGAGGTCGCTGGTGCTAGGCTAGTGCATGTCAATGGCCATAGTTAGCCTGACACTAAAACCCACTCCTCGAAGCAAATCTATTATTACGCCAGACTGTCGATGTGAATGTCTGTGGTGACAG